CCCTTGAGTGTGGCTCTTCCACAAAATGCCAACTTCTGCGCATGGGCCACGAATTTCAATCGCACCGTACGTGCGCTACCGCAGTGTTGTATTTTGTGGAAGAGCCACACTCAAGGGGCCAAAGAGCCGCATGTGGCTCGTGAGCCACGGTTTGCCGACCATGGGCCTAGATGATTCTTTAGCTTCTTGTTAACAATCCCTACCCTCCAATCTCCTTATGCTCTGTTCTCTGAATAGATTAAAATAAACATAAAGAGGTGGAGTGTTCCTAATGAAGTATTGGTTAGTTTTCCCAGATTCCAGGGAGTCTCTGGGAATATTCTGAATTAATAGTACCAGTTTTGTTATTGTTTTTAAAAGGATGCTAAGAAGGGGCAAAATTCAATGCCCAGTACTGGGAACCTCAGGGTGGAGAAGCCCGGAGTGCTTTGGTGGCAAGCCCAGCAGGTATGGCGGACAGGCCATGATTTAGAGCAGGAGGAGCTGTGCTGGCCCAGCACCGCCATCACCAACCACGGGACTTAGCCCTCAAGTCCCGGTCAGGACAGGGGCGTTGGGACAGGGACCTCTGAGGCCTCTTCTGGCATTCACTGCCTGTGACTGTTCTTCCGTTATTCGTCTACAAAACATACCCAGCTGTACGGCTCTAAGTAAGTCAGTCCATTTTTAACTACTTTAAATCTGTAACTAGTGTCTGCTAAATTTTAAAACGTGTCTTTATTGTTTTTATGGTTAAGAGTACTCTCTCCCCTCACACTTCTTTTTGTTAGTTTTTTCCAGTGACTCTGTTCTTTTCCTCGTCCCCATCCTATTGCCCATTGTTCTCCATAGTTAGCAGTGTTGATGGTTGGTACCTGTCATCCAGGCTTTCCTAGGCATGAACAAATGTCTGTATAGATGAAAATACAAAAATCTGTTGACTATAAAGGTGTAATATTATACATATGGTTTTGAAACTATTTTATTAATTGGCACATGGCAGAGTCAAACTATAGAAACAGTATTCAATGAACAATAAGTCTCACACCCTGAACTCCCAGCTCCCCCTCCTTAGCTGTTTGCATATCCTTCCAGGAATTTTCTGCGTATATACAAACATATATACGGCTATCTGATTTTTTTTTAACACAGTGAGAACGTACTCTTTACTGTTTAGCTCTTTGCTGCTGCTGCTTTTTTTATTTTTATTTTTTGGTGTTTTTTTTAAATATATTTTATTGATTTTTTACAGAGAGGAAGGGAGAGAGATAGAGAGTTAGAAACATCGATGAGAGAGAAACATCGACCAGCTGCCTCCTGCACATCTCCCACTGGGGATGTGCCCGCAACCCAGGTACATGCCCTTGACCGGAATCGAACCTGGGACCTTTCAGTACGCAGGCCGACGCTCTATCCACTGAGCCAAACCGGTTTCGGCTATTTTTTGGTTTAATGCTGCATTTTGTAGATGATTCCATATCAAATAATTCACAGGAGCACTTAGTGAGTGCTCAGAAATGTTAATTATCATTATCATCGGTACATGAGGAGCTTCCCTGGATTTCTGGGGGCTGCAAAGAATTTCATTATGTAGATGCACAGGTTCCTTATTAATGAACTTCAGGATGTTTCCAGAATCTGCTATAATAAGTAATGCTGCAGTGACCATCTTTCTTTCTGAGTCTGTATAGACGTGTGAACATATCTGCAGGAGGAATTCCTTTGAAAGAACGTGCCATTTACATCTTGTTAGGTATTTGGAAGGCAGTGTGGCAGTTGGTTGCATCTGTTTACATTCCTGCGGAGCTTGTCTGAGAGTCCTGATTCCTGCCCGCTCTCTAGAGCTGCCTCACACGGTTCCCTGCAGATAGCTGAAATGGCTACATTATTTAAATTCGCATTTCTCTTACTAATGCAGAACGAAGTGCTTGTCCTTCGATTAGAGTTATTAGTGTTTTTTCTTGTGCTCTGTTATGTCTTTTGCTTTTCTAAATTTGCCACTATTAATTTGTAACTTGTAATTTTTTTGGGCAGATATGTAAAATTTTTATGTAGCCAGATTTATCTTTTCCTTCATGCCTCTAGAAAGATTTTCAATCCAGAAAGATTTTAACTACTCCAAGATTATTAAAAAGCTCTCCTATGTTTTCTTCTAAGGATACTCCTGTCATTTTACTTTTTATGTTCCAATCCTTGAGCCAGTTAAATCTGTGTTTAATTGTAACATTGGATTATAGTTGAGCTTATGTTTGCTTGGGTGTTGGATGCTGAAAACCACAGAGTAGGTTGAGCATAGTATTGTGATATAATGAATAGTTTCCACAATTTAAAATTCCTGTTTTGTCCTATGTAATTCATGTTATAGCTTCTGTCATTTCTGTTTTTCTTTTCTGAGGAACTTCCTTTAGTCAGTGGTTTTCAACCTTCTGGCCCTTTAAATACAGTTCCTCATGTTGTGACCCAACCATAAAATTATTTTCGTTGCTACTTCATAACTGTACTGTTGCTACTGTTATGAATCATAATGTAAATATCTGATACGCAGGATGGTCTTAGGCGACCCCTGTGAAAGGGTCGTTCGACCGCCAAAGGGGTCGCGACCCACAGGTTGAGAACCGCTGCTTTAGATAGAAGAAAAGCCTGCTTTATTGACTATTTACCACTAATTTGAAGCACATCACTATTTATTCTTGATGTTGCTAATATTTGGCCCTCTTATTAATACAGAAGAAGTATTTAACCACTGTATCTTAGTTAGAGCTGCTACTTCATGGTCTCTATGATGGTGCTTAGTGACTACAGTCAAGAAGGAAATGGAAAAGCGGTGGTAGTAATTTTACTCGGAAAAGCATGGCATTCTGGAATGTTGAGAGAATTCATTATTTTTTTATATGTTAGGCCACTAACACTGCTTAGCTTCATTGGTTTGGGAGATTTATGACTTTTCTAACTGCTATCTGTTTTGGGGGAAAATTTTTACAGGTTTATTTACTGTTTTACTAGCTAGCCAGCTCTTTGTATTCAAAATTAGCAACACAAGCTGTAGGTTCACTGGGCCACAGTTTTTTCCTTATTCACTAGGCAGTGGTGATGCTACTACTTGATTCTGCCAATTCCTTAGAATTTTGGGGGCCTAAATGCAGTGTTGCTGTCCCTCTTTTAACAAGAAAAGAATCTGTAAGTCCAACGCAGCTGTCTCACTAGAGTCTTCTAGAGCAGGTCGTGGTGGCCAGGGCTTTGAGCCACCAGTGTTTCAGCTCTAGGAAGACAAAGGGCATTTAATAGAAAAGTAAAAGCCAGATAAAACCCAGCATGTTGAGCTGGCTCACCTTTGTGCTTGTTTTTTGTGTATTTTGCCATATATGTCCTTTCAAAGGTGTTCCTTAGCTTTCTCCACTCGTTCTCTTTATGGCAGAAGTTTTCTCCATCAACAGTTCCTTTATTTTGTTTTTTAAAAAACACATGGGCATGCGCGCGCGCACACACACACACACACACACACACACACAGTCTAGAGGAGCTCATGTAGTTTGCTTCAAGAAAGCTAGTATATAAAACTTTGGATTTAATCCTGATTTATTTTTTTTAGCCATAACTTATGAATTGTGCTGGAAAAGGGGTTAGAGTTTACCTTCATTACATAGAAACACATTAAAAAAGGTGAGATAACTGGTTCAAAATCATAGATAGTGTTCAAAATAGGACTTCTAGGTTTCCTAGTCCAGCATGCTTATTAGTAGATCAACAGATTAAAATATGATTATCTCCTTGTAATTTTCTTTAAAGATCATGCAGTGTATTTAAATAATGAACTGATGGTAACAACTTTTAGAGCAAACCTGTTGCATAAAGTGGCACTTTGGTGTTAACATGGAAGGAAGAAGGCAATACTGGAACCTTTTTTTCCATTTTTTCTTTTTTAACAGTGTATTTAGCATATCGATGTCAAGGAAAACACCCTTGACCATTGACTGCTGTAACTGAAAACCTAAGGAATCCCTGAGTCAGACTGTCCTGCTGGGCAGGAATGATCGTTTCACTGTTGGTCGCTGGGAGGAAAATACTGTTCACCTACTGCATTCCTCAGTGAAGGAACTGTGTGATGGGTCCATTCCAGTGTTTGTACATCCCCTGTGATGGTCAGTCAAGGTCCTTTACTTTAACGACCGTGAAATTGAAGGTCAGAGCAGGAGAAGAAGGGTGGTTCAAATCTCTATGGACAGGATGGACTAGAGTCTGAGCAGTCAGCTCAGTTAATAACGTGATAGGTAGAATGAGGTCATTCACGCCCTGTTGGACCTTAACGAGATGTCTGCAGAACACAGCTTGAAGGGGACCGAAGACAGAACCTCCTGGATGATCTTGTAACTCGAGAGAGACTACTCCTGGCATCCTTTAAGAACGAGGGTGCGGAGCCCGATCTCATCAGGTATGGTGTTTCCATTTACAGGGTGATGTGGTGGGGGAAGGTTTATTTGCAGAGAACAGCTGTATTCTGAATGGCTTCATTCCTTTAACTAGTAAAATATATTCTGTTCATTTATAGTGTTTTCCTATCCTATCTGTTCGATTCCATTTTCATTGATTTTCCAGGTTTTGCACACCAGGTGTGTTCAGCTGGATCCCATCTCAGAGGAAGGGTATTTAGGTAGAACGCAGGCAGGTAGCGCATTTCTTTTGCATGCCTAGTTGAGCTTTCCACTGTTAGCTGCCTTTAAACTCCCGAAGTCACGTACTTATCTGGGGAAATGTTTTTGTTTTCAATTGGCACCTTGAAAAAACTGTCCTTGTAAGATGCAGTCTGTGGTTCGTGGAGTAGAACAGGTGGACTCCTCTCGTGGTGGGGTGTCACTCGGGGTGGTGGCGGGGCCTGTGTCCTACTTGGGGAAGCTGAGTGTTGCTTTGTGGACGCCAGGTCTGTGGTGCCATTTGTCTGTACATGTCACGTAGCTCCTGTGTTGTGTGTCTGCCCCCTGGTGGTCACGATGCATCATAGCGACTGGTCGGATGGTTGGACACTTAGCATATTAGCCTTTTATATGTATACTAGTAGCCCTGTGCACGAATCTGTGCGTGAGTAGTTCACTGCCGCTTGCCTCAGCTGGCCACCTGCCCACCACTGCTGGTAGCTCTCTGCTGCTCATAGCTCGCTGTCCCGCCCTCCTGTAGCTCTCCGCCCACTGCCTCACCCTCCTGTAGCTCTCCGCCCACTGCCTCACCCTCCTATAGGCTCCTAGCTTGCTGCCCCACCCTCCTGTAGCTCTCTCTGCTTATAGCTCGTGGCCCTGCCCTCCTGTAGCTCTCCACCACTTGTAGATTGGTTGTGACATTATGGCGTAACGGATAATTAGCATTTTCCTCTCTTATTATATAGGACTAGAGGCCTGGTACATGAATTTGTGCACGGGTGGGGTCTTGCAGGCCCGCCCTGATCAGGGCTGACCAGGCTGGCCGGGGGGGGGGGGGGGGAGGGATGTAGGAGGTTGGCCAGCTGGCCCTGCCCCCTGGTTGCATTCCCGGTTGAACTCCAGTAGAGGGGACAATTTGCATATTAGCCTTTTATTATATAGGATATCTATCTATCTATATATTGATTTCAGAGAGGAAGGAAGAGGGAGATAGAAACATCAATGATGAGAAAGAATCATTGATTGGCTGCATCCTGTATGCCCCCCACTGGGGATCGAGCCCACAACCCGGGCATGTGCCCTGACTAGGAATCAAACTGTGACCTCCTGGTTCATAGGTTGACATTCAACCACTGAGCCACACCAGCTGAGGCTCTTAAGTCCTTTCTGTGGAGCGTGTTAGAAATGCAGAGTCTCAAACCTCACCCCAGCTCTACTGAGTCTGCAGTTTAACAAGACCCTCAGGTGATTTGAATGCTCTGTAGATCTTGAGAGATACTGCTTTATGTTATTCTTAATTGTGACATTTTGCATTAGAATCACTCAAGAGGCATATAAGAAATAAAAAAGAAGAGAGAGCAAGAGAAAAGAGAAGAAATACAAGTGTCTGGATCATATACTTGCAGAGTGTGAATTAGTCTGGTGAGAGGCCTGGGTGGCAGGCATGCTGGGCATCTCGGGTGATCCTAACGGCAGGTTAGAGCCCTGCTTTGTGTCATGGGTACCAGTGATGAGAGCTGATGGCTTATGTCGCTTGATTTCTGTGTGCCAGGCACCATGCTAAGCTCTTTTAAGAACCTTCCTCAGGAGATCTTCGTCACATCCCCATTTTACAGAAGAGAAATGAGGCTCAGAGGAGTCAGACAACTTGCACAGACTCTAAGACGAATCAGTCTCAGAGTTTGGGTTTCCTCTACTGGTAGATCTGTGTGTCATCAGATGGGCACTCAACCACTGTGCATGAGAAGCTGGACCAAGAGTTGGAAGGACCCAGCTCTGTTGCTTACTAGTTACTCAGTCATCTGGGCTTCAAAATCATTGACCTTGAAACAGGTATCTGTGTTCTGCCTCTTTTCCGTTGTTGTGTGGACCAGATGAGGTGATTGTTGTGTGAAGGGCTTTGTAAGCTCTAAAACCTTTACAAATGTAAGATGTTATTCTTGGAGCATTGTGCACCGTTAGGGTAGGAGTCGGTGGAGGGGTTCATGCTGCCTCCTTTGTTTCCAGGAGACCTGTCCTTGTTGCCCCCCCTGAGTGCTGGAGTCCTGGCCTCCATGGCCGGTCTTGTTCCATGTTCTGCCCCTGGTCCTCTGCCCTCCCATTCTCCCCTTGCGAATCTTGTTCTGTTCCCTTTCCTCAGTGCCCAGCTTGCTGCCTGTTGTCCTATTAAACAGCTGTACGTTCATTCTCACAGTGGAATCCATGGCTGGCACGGACTTGTCTTCTGGAGTAGTTTAGTGAAAACCTCCTTGAGTCTAAAGGAAATTACCTGATGGGAGGGTTTTAGGGAATATGGCAGATTGGTGGCAGAGGTGTTTGGGATGGAGGCCTGTTGAGAAATCTGAAGTCCAGCCACTAGGCCTGCCCCTGCTCCTCCTGGTTTAAGGCTGGTGCACATGGTGGGCCTAAAGGTCTTACTTGGTGAGCAGCTGGGGCGGCGTGGGGACAGAGGAGACTCTATGAAGCAACGATAACCAACGTCTTGAGGGGCGGAGTAATTTAGGAAACCAGCCAGGCTCTTTTACATGCTCCAAGATGAAACAGAGGATGGCACCATTGTAGACTTACTAGAGCAGCGGTCCCCAGCCTTTCGGACCTCACGGACCACCAGTTGGCGACGGCTATACTAGAGTCAAGCAGTGCGAGGACAGATGAGAGAATGAATAAATGTTCAAGTTAAAGTAAGTGGCTACAAGTAGATTAATTTGAGGTCAGAGTTTCTGATCTTTGACTTTATTCACCTGCCTATGTCAGAGTATGATTTTTGCCTTTATTTTTTTTAAACCCCTAACCCCACATTTAAGCCTTCTCTTCCATCCCCAACTTCTTATACCCCGATCATTCTTCCTCTTGGACCTGGCCTTCTGAGGATTGCATTCAGTTGTAGACATGACCGTTCCGGCTCACCGTTCAACCTTGCCCTTTGCCTCCTGATTGTCAGGCTGCCTAATCATTTCTGATTCCAGTTGTCAGGGCCCTTTCAGCTCTGTCTTTGGGGAAGCCTCATTCTCTTCTCTGCCGGTCGGTGTGTCTGTTATTTCCAGTGACTTACAAAGATTTCCTCAGTCCTCCTCACGGTCAGTTTCTACTTCTGGCTCCTCCAGGGTTTTTGTTTGCTTCTCTGATCTCTGGATTTCTCCCACATTTTTGTTTGATTTTGTAATTCTTGATATCCATGTGGGCTGCCTTGTCACTGGGCAGGAGGGTGGTGGTGGCATATGTCTTTCCTTTAGGGCCTGACCTACAGAGGACACACGGCCAGAAAGCCTTGCAGCACTTTAAAATGTTGTAGACCTGCTGTCTATGGCACGTTTGTCATTAATGCTAGATTATCACCACAGCACATTCACTGTTGGAGAACGGGGGTTCATCTTCCAATCAGTATTTCAAAGCCCCATGATAACTGGCAGCAGTCCCCCGGATCAGTCTGCCTGACCAGGACGCACTGGGAACCTGTTGATCTCTGTCCTCCTAGAGCCCCGACTTGTTTCTCTTTTTCCTGTTTCCTTTGTGTACTTTCTCCTCTCCCACTCCCACCCAAATCCTTTGCCTCCTCTCTGTCTTCCCCATCCCTTGTTCCCAGGAGTCCTTCTGCATGCCCCCTACTCCTCTTTTCTCTTCCTCCTCAGAGGTGGCCTTGTTAAGGAGCGAAGAGTATTGTGAAACTTCAGCTTGGATTAACATTTCCTTTAGCTAGACATTCACGTGGCAATCACATAATTGAATGTGTAGCTGTCATGTGATGGGATGTTAGCTTTACCTACGGATTACTGGCCATTATTCGGAAGCAGAGAGCCTTGATGTGAGACGGTGGTCTAAACAATTAATGGTTGACTAATTTAGGGCATTTGGAAACTTGTTAAAGAAATCTCTGCGTGACAGTGTCTCTTAGAAGATCAGCCATGACTTCTGAAGCAATGACACAGCTTCTCATTGAAAAGCCCACTGCCCCTTATATTTGAGAGTGTTGTTGAGTCTCACAATTACTTAAATCTTTGTCTGTAAAAGGAAAAATATCATCACATACTCCACTGCCTGTGACCATCTCAAGATCAGGTGATTAACTGGGCTGTAGTGGGTGGCTAATTGGCTAACCTTTAATCTTCGCACCACCAACTATATGAAGGATTATAGGAAATAGGAAGTTATTTAAAGGTTAATATGGTAGTTATTTGTCAGGAATGGTATATTAACAAGTAGACTAACTGCTTAAATTAAAAGAGTAGAAGATGATAATGAAATGTAAACGTTTCATTTAAATTTCACTTCAGATATTTGAGCTGCTAAAAAAAGTATGATACTTCCAGTATATATTTCATATCACAGTCAAGAAAAAATTAACATTAAGTATTACATCAAAAGTACTGTCCCTCCCCCATTTTAAACCATGGAATGTTTTATTGCAACTTTAAGTTTGGTTTATAAGAAGCATGATCTGAAAAAAATTAGAAGTAAAAAAAAAAAAAAAGCATGATCTGTATCTGATAGTACTGAGATTTTCTAAAGAATCATTGATTTATACTTTGTGTTGGTAATTGCTAAGAAATATTCACCTGCATCATTAGCCTGCTCATGTGAGACAATGGATAAGCGGTAATAATTTACCTGCTCATGTGAGACAATGGATAAGTGGTAATAATTTATCTTACGTCCCAGAAATACACTAGTTTCCTAGGTTTTCTGATGTGTAAAGGATGTGCTGAAATCAGAAAGGCTTTGCTTTTCTCTCTGTTTCATTGAGTATAAGAATAGTTGAACCAAGGTTATATTAAGTACTAGAGGCCTGGTGCACGAATTTGTG